CTGATCCGTGGTCAAAAAAAAAAAAAAAAAAAAAAAAAAAAAGGACGAGTGGTGGATCCAAGCTTAGGTGATTCGAAGGCTGGTAGACTTTTGAGGCCACCAAGGAAGGAATCACACCAGGTCAAGATCCAATCCAATCCACCAGGTCCTACTTGTTGGCCTCGGGTAGGCGGATAGGTTGATCTGGCACTGGCAACAGGTAGGGATCCCAATGGGGAAAAGAAGTAGCTCCCCATTGGCTTGCATCATCCTGTGTGCCATGAATGAGCATCAGTTTCTGACAAGTCTAGGTGCTGACAGGAACCTGGTTAGAGGGATGAGATTGATTGATGACGTCTCCATTTTGTGTCTGGTGCCCAGGTAGGAATGGGGGGATGAGCGCCAGCAGGTTATTATGGGCAGGTTCGGCACTTGGTAGTTTTGGGGGACAAAGATCGAAAATGACGACAGATTGACGCTGAAAAGGACTGATGAAGGAGATGGAAGTTGGTAGTTTTGGGGGACAAAGATTGAAAATGGATTGGATGAATGTGGGTCACCCGCCACCAGTGCTTCACAATGAATCTGGAACAGGTTTGGGCCCGGGATGATGTCCTTACGTACCGAACTCTGCGGGATTTCAGTTCTTCCTCGCTAGTACGGCAGAAGAAAGCCCCGTGATCACAAGCATGCTTCACCGCATTAGGCGAATGACATATACGAACGATTTGGCCGGATTACCACTGCTTGCGGTGAAAAGGCAGCTGCGGATGTGGATGCAGGACTACCCGGCCGAGCTGTTTAACGAAAGCCTAGGGGGTTATGTGATCAGACACGCCCCCTGGTGGAGGAAATGGGCGGAGCCGCCGGAGCATCTATGTAGCTGGTGAACGAGTGGAGGAATATGATTTAGTAGGATCTAATTCGAATCCGTTGGCCTGAGTACGAACATGGGCGGGTACATTGGATTTCTGAAGTTGGGCATGTGTTACATACTGTAACGGTGCAGACCAGAAACAAGAACCGACCTCTCAATACAAAGTACAAGATAGCGTAGCGGAAGACTTAGATACCAATGATCCGAACAATCAATATTGCAATGCAGCCCCGAACATACATCATCGTCATCATCACTCCATGGTGTGAAGGGGTCTGGCGCTCACACAGGAAGAATGCGCCAGCCCCAACCATACACAGATGAAGAAGAGGGGGGTTAGACGAAGAAGAGGGGAAGAGGGGAATGTCGTCAACACCAAGTCTTCGGCACAGGCTCAAATAGTCCCTCGTCAAAATGTCTGAATCCAAATGTCGAGTCTGGATCCAATGTCGTCAAGTCTCAAGTCACAACTCTCTCTCTGTCGTAGTCCACTGATACTGAGAAGTCAGGTGGTGAGAGGGTGAAGAAGAGATGGTGGACTTAGAAGAGGAAGAAGAAGAACTCTCTCTCTCTCTCTCTCTCTCTCTCTCTCTCTCTCTCTCTCTCTCTCTCTCTCTCTCTCTCTCTCTCTCTCTCTCTCTCTCTCTCTCTCTCTCTCTCTCTCTCCGGTACTAACCTGTGAAGTTGGCACCTTGATGCAGGTACCTCGAAGATGGAGCTGGAGCTATGGTGCCACAGGTACTGTCTCTTATACACATCTAGATGTGTATAAGAGACAGGACTACTGCTATGGCTACTAGCGCCCAACGCTGAAGACTACTGCTAGCGCTAAGCTACTCCTGGCAGCGCTCCTCTTGAGTGCTGCGGCTGAATCCTGAAGACTACTACTGCCTCTGTCCAAGTACTTACCTGGGAAGTGCATGGGAAATCCCTATGTACTTCTCGGCCTGCTCTTGACTGCAGGGCGAGGCAGTCCAGGAGGCTGCTCTTGCCAATGCCGCAGGGAGTCAGGGGCTGCCGCTGCAGCTCCTGCTTGAGGCTGTTGTGGGAAACAGGCTGAAGATAGCCTGTTCCCGAAACCCTGGTTTTGTGCCTGAGTGTTAGGCCAGGTCGATCTTATGAGGGCCCGAATGTGGCCCTCTGTTTCAGGCTGAAAAGCCTCAGGGCTGAAAAACCCTGTTTTAGGCTGAAACAACATAGGGCCTGAGGCCCTCGTTTTCAGTCTTTTCAGGCTGAAACGATAGGGGGCCTGTAAGCCCTTATTTCTAGGCTTTTAGGCTGAGAATGCGGAACGGGCCCTGTTGGCCCGTGTGGCTACACAGTATGCCACACCCCCCCTCCTTGAAAGACTGAGCTTACCTGCGAGGGCGAAGCTGTCTGTCTGAGGGAGGGACCACAGTCCGGGTGGGAGGGGCATATTTGTGAATCTTCCTTAGCTGGTCTTCGTTGCTCGTAGTCGTCGTAGATCAGCGGTGCAGATGCTTGCAAATCTGCGAACTTGGTGTCCAAAATGTCGAAGGACACGGCCTCGCTTACATGCGAGGCGAAGTACACGAGGACAGGGTGAATGAACCGGTCGATTGACTTGTGTGTGTGACTTTCAGCCAACGTGACTTGCGCGGGCTGCGACTTCCTCCGAACGCATGGCCCCAAGCCATTGCGTACCAGAAAATTGTGGCCCATTTAGTTGCGAGTGCTTCCGCAATTGATCAAAGCGCTGCAGGTCGCGTCTCCAATCTGAATGCGTATGTACAACAATGGTGCGTCGATTTCGTCCTACCGTTGTCTTGAACTCGCGGTCGATCTTCGCAACGTAGTCGTGAAGGTCGACAACCTCACTCCGGCGTCCATCAACGGAGCTGGTACTGCAGTGTGCAAGTAATCCCGCAATTGTGCCTTGAACATGTTGCAATGCGGTTTCGGCAATCGACCGGTCGGGGAAACGGGCATCCATTGGAAGTCCGCGAACGTCCACAGGTCGAGCTCTTCAAGTCTTGACCATGACGTCGAATCCCTGGCGATAGATGGCGGCGAAGCTGCCGAATCGGTTGCTGATGGTGGTGAAACCGTGCATGCGGTGGATTGTTGCACGTGGAGTGGTTGGTCCAACGGTGGGACCAAGTGGACAGCGTAACCCTCTTAAGATTATCGAGGACTTGCGACATGCGCCTCCTCCCCAGATGTGTAGGGAGGCCGCTAGCAAGGCGGCCAAATCTGGCGGAGTGAGAGGTGGAGTCGCCTCACCTCCCGCGCAGCTCAGTTTCCCGAGCTGTGGTACTGGCTGTCCATTTCCGGCCGGCGATGCGGTTTTCGCCTTCCCTTTTCTCGGGAGTTGTTGTTGCTTCGCGGCTGGACGGCGGCCACCTGATCTTCCTCACGTGATGCTTGGGTGGCCTCCGGGTCTTCTACAATGGTGTCCGGTTGGACTGCTGCGACATGCTGCGGACGCGGACCAAATTTTCCCTTCTCCACATGGGCTGGCTGCCACGCTGTCTTCTCGTGTGCAGCAGCCCGGTGATGATCTCTCGGATGGTTCGAAATGCCGGAACTTGAGCTTTTCGATGCTGGTGGCTTCATGCCGCTGTAGCAGATCCTGGGCCTCCTTGCGGCGTGCCTGGGTATCTGCTTCAGCTTCGGCTTGAAGTCGCTGTTTCTCAGCTGTTGCCGCCGCTTCAGCCTGTAGGCGGACAGCCTCGGCTGCCACCTGGCGCCGTTCCTCAGCCTCGATCAGTGCGAGCTGAGTCTGGAACCGCTGTTTGTACTCGGCAATGGACTCGTTGGCGAGTTGGCCTGGCATGCCCAGAACTGAGCCCGTCATGGGGGCGGGGCACTGCTGACGTGGCACTGCTGACGTGGCACTGCTGATGTGGCACTGCTGATGTGGCACTGCTGATGTGGCACTGCTGATGTGGCACTGCTGACGTGGCACTGTTGCTGACGTGGCAGTGCTGATGTGGCACTGCTGACATGGCACTGTTGCTGACGTGGCACTGCTGACGTGGCACTGCTGACGTGGCACTGTACCAACCCGGAAATGCATGCAAAGGGGTGGGTGGGAGGGAAAACGCAGGTAGGGAACCAACCCAACAATACTTTCCTCCCGGCCCTAATCAACAGATAAAAAATAAAAAAAATAAAAGAGGATTACTTCCTTTTTTTTTTTTTTTTGTATATCTGTCGATCTGTTATGAGTGAGACATGTCAGAAGAGTACTAGGAGCGAGATCTAGGCTAGGTTCCGCAAAGTTTTGGCTTTCACAAAATGCGATCTTGAAAAAAAAAATTTGCGAGATAGAATAGAGATGCGATTTTCAGAAAAGAATAATTCTGGTTTCCAAAAATATGACCACTTCTATCGTTATCCTAATGTGCCTAGAACACGAAATGTTAACCTCAGAAATTTTCAGCTATGTATGCGAAATATCAGAGAAACGAAATGCTACTATCAGGAATTTTCAGATAAAACGAAATGCGATTATCAGAAATTTTCAGATATTTGTTGCGATATTTTTTTTTTTTTTCAGAGATTTGACGAAGTCCTGCTTGATTTACTAATGAGTGATCAATAGATCGGGCAAGCTGGCTACTTGATTGATCGTGTCCTCTGAATGAGAGGTCCGCTCCGATACCGAACTGTTGCATACTGTAACGGTGCAGACCAGAAACAAGAACCGACCTCTCAATACAAAATACAAGATAGCGTAGTGGAAGACTTAGATACCAATGATCCGAACAATCAATTTGCAATGCAGCCCCGAACATACATCATCGTCATCATCACTCCATGGTGTGAAGGGGTCTGGCGCTCACACAGGAAGAATGCTCCAACCCCAACCATACACAGACGAAGAAGAGGGGGGTTAGACGAAGAAGAGGGGAAGATGGGAATGTCGTCAACACCAAGTCTTCGGCACAGGCCCAGATAGTCCCTCGTCAAAATGTCTGAATGCAAATGTCAAGTCTGGATCCAATGTTGTCAAGTCTCAAGTCACAACTCTCTCTCTGTCGTAGTCCACTGATACTGAGAAGTCAGGTGGTGAGAGGGTGAAGAAGAGATGGTGGACTTAGAA